ACATAGTTAACTGTAATCATTAACTACTCGGTATTTACACGAGATTTTTCCACAAGGCGGGATGTGGCACAAGGCCGCTATTTACCTGGGACATTTCGAGCCCGTAGGCCAGGGGAAAATTGCCCTTAGGCCCGAGCAAAATTGCCTTTAGACTGTGGATACACTGAGTCAAGTAGCTGTCTACCTTCCCAGACAAAACTCTACCCTTCGGCATAGCCTCGTCTGGGTTTCTCTCCGCCCGGACGCAGAGAGTCAACAAGCAGAGTTAACTGTAATCGTTAACTCCTTCCCCTCAGTAAGAAAGAGTGCTGTTTAAATAGTCTTAGACCAGTCCACCTTATAGGGGTGTTCAGCTACTGCACAACACTTACGTATTTGCGCGTAAGTAAATATAACGAATCGGACAGGAATTGGAACTCGGCTCCCAGATTTCTTCTTCCGAGCTGTTATCCATTACACCACCCACACATCCAAGTTTATAACACCTGGTATTCCTACGCAATCATTCTTCTTTTACTGACCAGATTGGACGTGCTTAACTTCAGTAATCGTGCTGTGTTTTAGCGTGATATGTTCGTTAGCCAAATGTTACTAAATATCTCCCCCCAACTACTTCTGAGCTTAAAGAGATTAATCGAAGTTAACGATACTTTTCCTGTTTCTTAATAGTTGGCTTAGCTTTTGGAAGGCATATTTCGCTATACCAATGCACATTTCAATAATGCTCTCTCTGTCCGCTATTAAAACACTTCCCAGATATTTAAGTTGTTGTATATGTTTCATTGGAGTTGGCACAACCTTTGAATCTCCAAAACCCAGTGGTTTCCTTTGCTTTCATAATGAAAACTAAAGAATGATTTCGCGGGAGACGTTGTGTTATGAACAATAAGCAAAGTTTTGCGTGTCCGAACAATGTTGAATAAGATTTGATAAAATACATTTTATTTTAAACTAATATCCAACGGCACTTTCTCATCTCAAAGCCTCGGGAAGATTAAGGCTTTACCCCCGCATATCGCAAAAATAGATCGAGATTCGTTGACATCGAAAAGTGAAACATTGAAGCCTTTTGAAAGTTCTTTATTCGATAAATTCGATTCTGGTTCGATATTTCCATTATTGAATAGACTTTTCCTTCCTTTTACAATTTGCATACGGACGCGATATTCTGGCCTTGACGAAAAAGAAATTGAAATGTGCCTTTTCAATTATATATTTTTTTTTAACATCAAAGCAGTATTTTTTATAGCACCGCACAGAACCGAATTCTCGATAACATAAATTTCTTTTATTACACCCACGCTTTTTGTATCGGTGGTGAGAAAGGAGAAACGGTTTATATTTTAGAAAGAAAAAAAGGTAAAAACTCTATTCAGAAAATTCATTTCTAATGTCCACCATCCAGTCTCATACTCTTCAAATCGAGGAAACTATTACTGCCAGTATACCAAATTGCTGCAAAGGTAGCTGAGCGTTTAATTTCGCCGATCGGTGCCGGCGGGTGCTAGACTGATTCTCAATGTCGGAACTTAATATAAAATGCAATTTTCTCGTTGTGTTTAGACTTTCCAAAACTAATAGACATCCAAACCAATTTTTATGAAACTGAAGTATTTTATTAAAAATAATAAGTGCATTTAAAATAGCATAAGCGAGTAAAAACAAAAAAAAATAACGTTTCCATAATTATTAAATAAAACGGCCGACAGTAGAAATAACAGCTTTTCTTTTTCGTTGCTGCTATATAAGATCGTAAATGGCGATTGAACAGACAGAAGTGGATATTACTGCCCGGTGAACAGAAATGTCTTCACCTGAAATTTGGGCTGTGTTCGGAGATTCTGTTTTCTATGCTGATAGCCGTTTCGGCATTTCAAATCAAGTTACTCCACAACGAAAAGCCATGCCAAATGCAAGCATATTTAGAGAAAAGACGGAGGACCCTAAGATACAAAGTTAAAAGTTAATATTTTCAATATACATTTTTTTTTTTGTCATTTAACAGCAAGAAAGGCGATAATGCCACTAAGACGCAAGAGATTGCTGTGAGTGAAAGAGAATGAGAAGACTTTAGTGAGGGAAACGACAATAAAAGAACAGAATTCAGGAAGACAGAAGATGGCGATTAACGTTGTATTTACATTTTTGATGACCGTAGATGGCAGGGAAGCAAGAAACCGGAAGTGAGTTTCACAAGTGAGAAGAGAAACTATCAGAATAGAATCTATGGTTACATCTATAGCTATTTCAACAGTAATATGATAAGGCCTAGCTGACAATGTATTGGTAAGCTCAAATTCATACAGCCGGGGTACCAAGAATTGAGCTCAATAGAACAATTGCGATGAAATTGTTTATAGAAAACACAGAGGAAAGCCACAATATGGCGGTCGAAAAGTCACTGAAGTCGATATACCAGATCAAAATTGATAAACATTATAGACCCCTCTTTTGATATTGTCGAGAATCTGGAAATATATAGCAGGAGCATCAGACCACATGATGGTTAAAAATTGATAAATATAACCGTAGGATGTCAGTTATTTAAATGACACTTCACGATTGTGGAATTCTCTTCAGGGTTCTAGCTCTCTACTCAGCTTTGCATTTAAATATTTGAAAATTAAAGCTAATCGTCATCTTCCGTCCCTTAAATTTTGTTCTTTTATTGACCTCTCTCCTCAATTACGTTTTTTTTTTTTTTTTTCTATAACCGTTTTCTCAGTAACCTCTCTGAGTAACTGATGTAATAGAATAACCAGTCACCTCCATGAATGATTACACTACAGGTAGCAAGTATCTATAAAGTCAACCGTCTACGAGAGACAGAGGGGAGCGGAGTGCGAGACGAGTGGGACGCTCCTTATTAACATCAGTTATGTTTAATTTATTTTGTGTTGATGTTTAGTTTGTTTATTCGGTTCATCCCCCCTCCCCTCTCATATTTAATCATTCATAATTTTTTATATATGTATTTTATTATCATGAAATTTCTAATATCATGGGGTACGTTTTTATAGGTCCCCCTGAGAGGATGTGGTATTATGGTGTATGGAGGATTGATTGGTGATGGGCGAGTTTTTGTGGTGAATGTGCAAATTGTAATGAGTGAAATGGGCTGTGAATCGGATTAGCTAGGTATAAGATATTTAGTAAAAAACAGCCTCAACCCCTCCCCTTTTTAGGCCTTGTACCGAAATGTAGGTGAGAGAGAGACGACGCAAGCACGTCTGACCTTCCAATTAGTGGCACTCACTACTAGATTGACCTGTGTGTATAACTGTACCGTATTTCATATTGTACTTGTGTACAATAAACCTTTCTTCTAGTATCCACCTGGTGTTATGTGTTTATTCCCTAAGCACGGAATATAACAGTAACATATTGCATCTTTTTTTCTCATCTAAGTTTGCCATAAAATGGTTCCTGACACACAATGACGTTTCTACTTATAATTGTTTCCTACATCAGAGTCGTATTTCCCATGAAATTCGAGTGTGTTATTTTTTAAAACTGATATTCTTTAATCTATGTATGGGAAGAAACTGTTTCAAAACTGAGTTTGTTTCTTTTAAGACAAACGCATAAAAACAGAACTAAAATATCATAACTATTTCGACTTGAAGGCACACTTGAAATTTCTTATCTTCAGCAAGGCTGCTCGTTTCTAAGCATACCCATCTGATCAGGCCTATTTGTGTTTCTTCAACGCTCACAGAGCCAAACTTTATTTTTTGTTTTAATCATTTCACTCCTAGAAAGGCGAAAATGCAGGGGGTTACATTTTAAGAATTAAAAGAATTTAGAAGGGACCGGAAACACAACCCCAAACAGGAAACAAGGGATAGACCTCTACTCCTGTTAAAAAAAAAAACGGGGATGGTTTGAAACAGCCGATAGGTAAACTTATCTGCTGTGATTTATACAGCGACTGGACGAACTTTAGTTACAATTTATTTATATACCACACAAGAGACACATAAGGTTTTTAATTCAGAGTTCTTCTCCTATACTGGCTGCCAACCACGGCTCTTATGTTTTAAACCAAACAATTAATTTTAGCATATTTCTAAATTTATTTTTGATATTGTTAATTGAAAATCAGAAAAGAATTATAAACAAAAAATATGTATAATTTAAATGCCTTGCAAAATGTATCTTATAGAAATGCTTGGAAAATAATCAGAATCGATTGTCAGTAGTCAGGAAATAGGGAGGGTTACTGACAGGATAACGCTATTATATGTATAGAAAAAGTAGTTACAGTTCAAGTATGTGTCCCACTAAGATTTGAGTTTCCTTCATACTGGCTGCCATGGATAATAGTCTGATTTACTATTTAACCCATAGATAAGAGGAGAATAGGGAGATTCAAGCCTTTCCCAAGGGTATTTGTGCAAAAGTGGATATAACGATCTCGATCAGAATTCGAACTCGGTAACCATTACATTTCCAGTACATTTACAACAAACTTTAATAGAGTTTTATCTTGCAGTAAAATCACAACAAGCAAAAAGAATTTAAGAAAAAAAAATGCTTACCCTGATTTAGAAAAATTAGCCCAAAATCCTGTCATTCGGTCAGTTAATGTTCTTTCTTCCGTTGTGTAATTTTTGGTACCGCTTAAAGCGCGGGCAAACACAAATTCAATATCATATCCATGCATAACTCCCATCCATTTTGGCCAGGGGTTAACCGATGACCGATGTTCCAGTGAATACATATATACATTGGCAAATTGGCTCATAGCCATTGCAAATTCAATGGTTGGGCATTTGAATTCTCGGTCCCCAACTACAGATTCCAGTATGTGTGTATATTTTTCCGTATCATTGGTCAACGAAGATAAACCATACAAATACGAGATGCTGTCCAATTGTAAGGAATTAATATCGTCTGGTTTTACTATAGTGCCGACTATCCGTTCGTAACTAGATGCGTCCAAGGCTATTTCTCCGTTTGGTTTAAAGTTTTTCTTAAAACCATAAGTGAGAAAATACGTCCCCTCATTCTTGACAAAACCGAGCAGGATATCTTTCTTTGTATCGTTGTTGATGTAGTCCCGAACTGTTTGGTGGCTGTTGTCGGGCAGAAAATAGCCATCAATGACTGGACCGAACGATAAGTCAAAATATCGAACCAGAACATTCCACTGGGCGTTGGTTATATCAGTGGCATTGGCCTTGATTAAGCAGTTCAGCATATCACGACGGCTGCTGATTGGACACTTTAAAGCGTTGCACATTATTTTAGCTCTTCGGATGTTTTCCTGTTTTGACAGCATGGCCCAACCGGCAATGAGTGTTCCGCTCATCATGATGGCGTTTCGGAATAGCTTTTGCGATAACGGAGAGACGACTTGATAACTAACAGAAACGGAACCCGCACTCTCTCCAAACAGAGTTATCTTCGAAGGGTCACCTCCAAATATGTTTATGTTTTTGTTCAACCATTTTAGAGCCATATTTTGATCGAGAAGACCCATGTTGCCCGGAGCCAGCTTTTCATCCAGATACAAGAAACCGAAAGGACCCAGTCGGTAGTTAAACGAAGCCACAATGACGTCCTTACTAGCGGCCAACCAGCTCCCGTCGTACAGAGTCAGAGTGCTTGTCCCGCTCGTTAGGGACCCACCGTAGATCCACACCATAGTCGACAGTTTCAGTTTAGACTTTCTCGCGTTGGACGGAATCCACAGGCTGAGGTACAGACAATCTTCACTTATCTTGGTGTTTGCATTCCACATGTTGACCCCTTCGAAATCTTTGAAATCATCCAAACTCTGCATACAGGAATTTGGCAGAGGTCTCGCGTCGCGGATACCATCCCAGGGTTCTACAGGTTCTGGCTTGCGGAATCTGAGTGTACCGACAGGGGGTTTAGCAAATGGTATGCTGCGAAAGACTTCTACGTCCTGCCCGAGGACGGAGATGGTGTCGCCCCGGACCTTCCCTGACCCCGTCTCAACGACTGGATCTTCAGTGCTTGCCAATATCACCAGTAGAGACAGGGTAAGAAAACATTTTACCTCGTCCATGGCAACAGCATTTATTCACATTAGTTCTGAAGACTTAAACCTGAAAGAAGAAAAAAAAGAAATTTTGAGATATGCATTTTGTATTTCAAGAAGGCATGTTTTACTTAGGAACAAAAACACAAGGGTATTTAAAAAAAAAAAAAAGTGGGGTAGAATTTTTTTTGTTTTCTTGTTTTTTTTTTTCATATATACGAGCAAAGGATCTACAGATACAGTAACGGCTATCGGTGCATAAAATGGAATTTACGAACTTAGTTCAATTTACGACAGAGTTTGGCGGTTTCACTTCCGCGCTAATGCTAACAAGCAGCAGCTAAAGTTATCGCTTTAGTGGTTGGCGCACTATAAGACGTTTAGCACGTTGGAGAGGAGTTTCAGACATGACAGTCCAAAGGGCAGTTTAAAAAAAGACTTGAAAATGAAATCGTATGAGAAACCGGTGAGACATTTTGTTACTCCAGGACAGAAAGTTAGATTAGAGAGGGTGAAGATCATCTTGAATAAGTTGGAATATATATATATATATATATATATATATATATATATATATATATATATATATGTCTATGTATGCGTGTTTGTGATCAGGCTAAAGTGAGTGTCTTCTGAAGAAAAGAAGAGTAGGAGAAATCAGTGAGTGTGTCTCATTCTGAGTCTTGATAGGTCAATTTCTTCCTTCTGATAAAGTTTGATGCCATTCTCCTATAATGGGCTTAATTTTCAAAATAATAGCTAATAACGGTAAATATTGTAAGGATGTTAAATAACATAAAACCTTGTTATCATAAAAATGACTTAAAAGCTCTTCTAATTTATATACATAGATATGTAAGCAAATATATGGATATAGATCCGACAGTATGAAGAAAAATATACGGAAAAAACAAAAAAAATCCTTATATGCAATTATTAGACCGAATCGTCCGACGTTGACATTATATTAACATTAAAACGGCATAATTGCATATAAGGATTTTTGTTTGTTTTTTCCGTATATTTTTCTTCATACATAGATATATACATATAGAAAATATCTCGCACGTTATTAGTAATAATATCTTATATCTTAATATATATTAATCGCTTCATTAGCTTTCCAGAAATTAAGAAAAATTAAAAATGGCTACCTTATACTCGAGTATTTTCACATCGAATAAAGTTTTGTTTTGTTTTTTAACGTTGATGCGCCTACACATTCACACGAACGAGAAACGCTGGGAATTTTGAAATTTAAATTTTTTTTTTGTTTTACGTATAAAATCTCGCCTATTTGTTTTGGATTCTTTTTGTTTCCATCACTTTTGTTATTAAATATCGCACATTACAGAACCGCACATTAAAATGTTACTGTAGATTATGTTGCGATTAAAGCATTTTCAACATTTTCGTTTTACATTATTTCCATTATTCCTCATCTTTGTTGCCATATTTGTATGTACGTAGGTGGTTGGAAGTTCGAACTAGACCCTGTATTTCGCTCACTGGGGTAGACTGTTTTAGTTCCACGTGCCATGTCTAATGGATGTCACTCTGAAAGTTCTCCACTGCCTTAACCGGGTATTGAACTCACACTCTTTGGGTCCTGTCACTGGATCTAACCAACGCCTTTATCCACTGTACCATGTGTGCTTGGGTATGAATTTCTGAGTATTATAAACCTAATGTCTTCAGTAACCATTTTTACCAGTGCTCATATTGCAATTTTGCTGTTATCATTGCGTGTTTTTACCAGAGCTCATATTGCAACTTTTTTGTTATCATTGCTTTTCTCTGGCACTCCTTATTACTGGTTCCCATGTTATATTTATTTATATGGTAACAAAGATGAGGACAATAGACCGAATAATGTAAATAATGTACATAATACCTCATCTCAGAAATATAGACAGATTTTCGTTTTAGTGAATTGTTTTCTCTTTTAATTCGAGTAACATTTTTTTATATCAAAGTTTTGGTAAGTCTTGTTACGGTGAGCAACTAATGTGTTTAATTTGTTGTTTTATAAAATATCCCTTTTCTGTTTATATGATTTTTATTTAAATTCCCTGAGGTTTCTCCAATGTAGTCTTTGTGGCTATTATTACAGGTGATAGAGTAAATTCCTCCTTTAAGTATTAGCTTATGGTTTTGCATTGATTAAGTCTTAAAACTTAGTCCGATGAAATCCTAACAGACGAAATGTGAAATCTTTTTCACTTTGACATATATCTTTCCCGCTAAAATTGTTCTTGATATGTAAAAATTTATATATCGTTATCTCATGTAAGCACCTGAATATATAAAAAACCTGTTAAGTTTTATCCTCCTGATATAAGTTTAAACTTTAGATGATTTATTTAAAAGAAAAATTTTATATTTACAACATTATAAAAATATGTGAACCAACTAATACAATATAATACATAAAAATGTATATTTCGTTATCCCATATAGTGCGTGTTTTGAGAGGGTTGCACAATACACAGGTATTTTTTTTAGAAGAGGATAAAAATCATGTATTTTCGGTGACCGGTTGCACAATACAATGGTATATTCTTCTCTGGATGGAGGTAAATTTTATTTAAAAGTCGGCTTATATACGAAACTATTTACATTGCTCAGACTATCGTCCACATGTTTGTTCCCATATTTATTACAATGTTTCGGCTGTTGTACACTCCGGCCTTCTTGTTGGAATGTCGGACTGAACCCTTATTTCGCTCGCTGGGGTAGACTGTTCTAGTTTCATGTGCCATGTCTAATGGATGTCAGTTATCAGTTATCCCCTGTTAATTCCTCTCTACAAGTTCTCCACCCCCTTAACCAGGTATTGAACTCACACTCTTTATATACGAGTATAAACGGTAATTATGTGAGATGATGTATGTAACTGAGGTTATGTACAACCATATTTTCTTTTATGTACAACCACATTTCTTTTACTAGCTTGTATTTTGTTTAACATCTTATTGCTACGCTCGAAGTCGAAATAATAGTTGAATTGAACAATTCTTGTTCCACTTCGTAAAATGTAAACAAACAATTGTTGAGCACGACCTCGTAAATGAAAGTATTTAGATATATTTTTTAAAAAGTCAACAGATTTTTACTGCTCTTTACTCTCATTCTGTGAGGCAAATGCTCAGGTGTCTACTATTTTCACGTTTCAATAAAATGTCTTTATTTCGCTACGTAGAGTTTATGAATTTAATCGCAGTAACAGACTGGCGTCGAGATCTGATTTAATTACAGTTGAGCTGGTTAGATGTAGCCATTAGTTCTATGCTTAGTTTATTTTCTTACAATTCTTGCTTGCGGAATTCCCTTCTGGCTTCATGATTTCCAGCCAACTTTTATCTGCAAAAATTTAAATGCAATGTTAATCGCTATCTACTGTCCTTTTGATTATTCTTTTTCTCTCCCTGACCATTAATGTTTCTGTTCCTAATTCCTCCACACCTTTGGGGTTTATATGCCGTAAAACAAAACAAAACAAACCAATATATACCGAGATAGATAGATAGATAGATAGATAGATAGAAAGAAAGAAAGAAAGGAAGAAAGAAAGAAAGAAAGAAAATACAACCAGCAATAAAAAAAATATTGTCGGCATTAAATAACGCATTGAGATGTTGATATAAGCGCATTAAACTTTGCATCACAAATGATGGAAATTTGTTAATATTCGAATTTAATAAAATGTATTTTTGCCAATGTATCCAAGTCTTTAGAGACATTTTGTATACTGAAATCTTCTTTTCTGAATAGATCCCACTAAAGTAGGAGTATGTCTAAAATGCTCTTAAATACACTATAAATAATTGCTAAAGTCGACCACTAAAGACTCGATAGTTAAAAAAACGCAGGACTATAATTTTCAGTTAAGATGTGCGGATGGTGCAACGGATATCGACTTAGAACTCGGAATCAGCGGGTAGAGTGTCAAATCCAGATTAGTCTGTTGCATTCAATTTCGAAGTAATGCCCTTGGGAAAGGATTAGATGGTCTCTTCTTCCCCTAGTCAGAACTTTTAAAAAAGACAGGGTATACGAGGCTCTTCTGATTGGAACCAGTCTAAGAGAAAGAAAACTGATATGATAAAATCTGGAGAATGCAACGAGAAAACATCTCATTATATTTCCAAAGAATGCATAAAAAGTTACGCATATAGAGAGTCAGGACCGCTTGTGGCCTGAAGGGACATTGATATTAATCAATTGAAATGGCCATTATTTACATTATTCGGACTATTGTCCTCATCTTTGTCGCTATATTTATTACAATGTTTCGGCCATTGTTCGCTCCGGCCTTCTTCGGGTAATTGAAATGGGTTTCCTATTTCCTTGCCTACCCAATTGGACAAATATGATAAAAATGAGTTTATGTGCTTCCCAGATTATGGAACAGGCGTTGACAGACAAAACTGACCAGTCCCTGTGACCTGTGTCACTAACGACTCGGGGCAACCTCGGATGTAATCCTAATCATACAATAGAGTGCTAGTGGCCTAAAGTTGGAATTTCCTGGCATCAAGCAGATGTGATTCAAATTTGTGCTCTGTCTTGCCCAAAGAGAACAAGGCTGCTTACAGCTTGGGACGAATATTGACCACATTTTGTGACAGCATTTACGTCAAAACTTGATGACATTACTTTAGAAGTGTCACCATTATAAATATCATAATAAATTAATAATATTTTTGTAACAAATTCAAAACTTATATTTATTTTATATTTTGATAAAATTAATCAGCGACTTCAGTCTTCAATTAACAGGCTTTCTGACAAGGGGAAAGAAAACTTATGCATTCTCAATAATTGATATGGGATTAAGATTCGTGACTATAAAAGCCATTTACAGTAATCCCCCGCTTATTCGCGTTTCTGCATTCGCGGTTTCACACATTCGCGAATCTTTCTTTAGAACATATGTTATTCGTGGACACTCCGAATATTCGCGTTTTTCTGAAGAACATATGTAAAAAGTATTCACTGAAAACGCCATCGATTCGCGTGCTTTTTCGATAGAACATATTTAAAATATTCTTGTATTATTTTCGTGTTAATTAAGTGACTTAAAAAATACAACAGTCCATTTTTATGGTAAAAATTGGCAGAATTTTACATCTTTATTGTAAAAAACATGCATAGTGTTTGGACTTTGTTCATTGTTGGAAGCTGCGGCTGGGGTCTTAAAAGTGGGGTCTTATGCTAAATCTGGGGATATCATCACAGTTCTTTTAGTAAATGTTTTAAACTTTATATTTTATGTCTTGTTAGACATATTTTATACAGTATTTTCAATGTTTGTATCGATCTATGCGTAATTAAAAACGGTATTTTACGTATGAAAGAAAATTTACGCTATGTTTATGATGACCAATACTATTTTTCAAAAATGTTTTAACACTAGGATGGTCAGCTCCTTTGACATCTTTATTTACATTACGCCGTGAAGCAGCCATCTCTAATATATTCAATATTCAAGTCAGGAATAAAAACTCTGAAAAGAAATTCACAAATATTAGTATACCTCATACTGAAAGAAAGTGATTATAGATAGATAGATAGATAGATAGATAGATAGATAGATAGATAGATAGATAGATAGATAGATTATGTGTGTGTATAGATAGATAAATAGATAGATAGGGGACATAAACACAAGTATTATTGCTTGTGAGAAATGTTTCAATGCATTTACCCTATAAATAGCCTAGGTGTCAAAAACGACGCCTCGGCCATTCAAGATAAAACCTCAAATATCAGCTATTCCGCTGAATATTTTTTTAAAAATTAAGTCTGTTAAGCATCTTTGCTAAAATTCGATAATTGTCCATAAGCCTCAGCATCGAACCAAAACTAGTTATTCCATAGGAATTTGTTGAAAATTTGAAGGTGTCAAAAACGACACCTCAGCCATCCTAGTGTTAAAAAGGGTTTGAAATGTTTCTAAAGTGTTTAGGATGAACATTTAAAGGACATGGGGTTTTAACAATCAAAATAGGTAATTATAGGCACTTTTAGGTTGTTTACAAATATTTATGGTTTCTAACTATTCGCGACTGGTTTTGGTCCCTAACCCCGGTGAATACGAGGGGGGGCTCACTATAAAGCAATGGATTTTAATAACATTTACACCATTAGAATAAAGGACTTGACCAATACTCCGAGTGAAAATTATATTCGTATCTGAAAATGATTTTCAGTTGCTAAAATGATTTTACATTTAAATAAATAAATAAATAATGGATATAAAAATTTAATTAAAATTTGCAGAATAACGTCCCATGCCGTCACGCGAATATTTTGTATTGAATTTATTTTTTAAAAGATTTTAACAAAATCTTTGAACACTGCATATTTACATTTTGAAAGATAAGTGGCTAAAAATAGCTCCTTAATAATGTTTTTTCTTTTTTTCATATTTCCCTCTCTCTCAGTAATTCCTTGAGTCTTAGTGGCTTTAATTCCTTGATAGGGTGAAATGATTAGCATTATATATAATTAATAAATATACATATTACCTTACATTGAGTTTCATGTTCATATTAATCTTCATGTACTTATAATGGTGATGAACTGTTCGTTACGATTGTTAGAATTTTCAAAATTTCTGGGTTTTGTGGACGCACCGAAATATATATATATATATATATATAAAATTATACAATAAATTTTTTTAAACGTGAAAAAGAAAAATTATAATAACTAATTATAAAAAAGGGAAATATAAAAAATAGCACAAATAATAATATTAAATATTTATAGATGTAAAGACAGAAAAATAAAATAAAAACTATATAAAAAATATATATAAATATAAGAATAATTAGTAATTAAAATATATAATTATAGAAATAAAATAAAATAAATTTAAAAAGAAAGTTATAAATATAGAAATGGGAGAAGTAATATTAGAGAATAAGAATCTATCTATAAAAGGCAGGATATGTGTGTGTGTGTGTGTGTGTGTGTGTGTGTGTGTGTGTGTGTGTGTGTGTGTGTGTGTGCAACGAATGCACGGCTGCAATTTTCGACGGATTTGCACCAAAATTTACATGCACATGCTACAAGTTATCGGAAAGGTCAAGACCGACTTTGCATTTCCCAACTCCCATCGATAGTGGAAATAATCGATATTTTCATGCTTCTACGGTATTTTTATGTAGTTTGCGGCCATTTTCTACTGGCCAGAGTGAGAGCCTATAGCTGGCTGCCACGAATAGGCAGGAAGATTCTATTGGCCAGCGTGAGACAACAGCTGACTGACACGAATGTTAACAAAAAAAAATCGATAGCTGTATTCGTCACAAGTGGGAAAAATTTAAATCTGCATGTCACTTTACTCCAAAAATTTAAATCTACATCGCACTTTATTTTCCCTTCGCTTCCTTAAACTCAACGTTAATTCTGATTCCGCAGAACTGGGTTGGGTGTGAGAAAGTATTTGTTGTTAACATTCTTTTTTCTTTCGGTTTTTCCAGTTACGAGTCCTTTTTTAAAGCTGATCGTTTTGTGTTCATTTTGTTTAGTTCTTTTTTCGTAACAGATTTAATGTTTAGTGTAGAGCTTCGAAAAAATTCGCAGTGTGAGATAGGCAAGAAGTAAGGCATGTAGCAACATCAGCACGGCAAAGGGCATTCCTTTAAAGGCAAGGAAGGGCAAAAATATTTTAAGTCAAGTGATAGCGATTGCTTTATGAGTTGTACGATTTTTGAATCAAGCACGGGCAACGCCGGGCCATGCTGCTAGTAAAATATAAAAATTAGCTTAATTACCGAAGAGTTAAAAACAATATCAAAAACAAAAAAACAAAAAACAAAGGATAAGGTGGTAACTATGAATTGTTAGATTAATTAGGCTAACGAGAATCGAAATATTTAAGGAGAAAGTCTTTTTTTTTTTAATGAAGGCATGTGGTCATAAGTTCACTTCGTTTGTTCAATTAAACAGATTTTCGAATTGACATTATTTATTCTTATTATGTCTTTGCTTTAATCAAGTTCACAAAGCTGCTCGAAATCACACAGAAAGGATCCTTCTCATTGACTCGATGACTTTTTTTTTGGCGGGGGGGGAGCCGTGATTTTTATGGTAGTTAATTTTAGCCTTTGTTTTCCTATTTTGTTTGTTTTCTGGAATTGAATCTGACCGTGATTCAGGTTGATGCAAAGAAAAATATGAATCCCAAAAATTACTTAAATTCTTTCGGGCATATCATGCGGGAAGAAGTCTTGGGAACTCTCAGCAATCAGTGGACACACTGGAAACAGAAGGTGCCAGAGTGGATCAGCGAGTAAATTTATTAATGTCTTGATTCAGGTTGATTCGAAGAAGAATATTAATGCCAAAAATTGTCTAAATATTTACAGTTCGAATTTCTATTATTCGCAATTGTAATTTCTAGTATTAAAGTCAAAATAGGCAAACAAACAGTTTGTCGACATTTGTATATTTTTACTAAAATTAAGAAGCTCAAATTTTACTAGACAGATCTGTTCGAATTTTATTGGTATTGACATCTAAAGACCGTTTGTTTTATCTTTGTGTAATCTTCTCATTTTCTTCTTTATCACTTCCACTTTATATATATATATATATATATATATATATATATATATA